AGGGTAAAAGACGCGGTGACAAGAGCGTCGCTGATGACACCAGAAAAGTCCAAAGGGACTTTTAGCCCTTGCATTCTTGTCGCAACTCGGTTTGACGTTGGGAGACCCTTTTCTTGAAAGCAACAGGCTCTATCTGGCTATAGGTTGTTAGCCTTCGGGTGAAGCTCTATCGGAAGAAGCTTCAGCTATGGGTCGTGAGATCGGACGATTGTGCACACCTCCACTACCGCAGCTGTCGTGTGTCGAAACTTCGGATCAAGCGGAGGTGCAAGGTTCAATGAAATGATGGTCGAGTTGATTCATGTTAGTCACAAGTGTGGGCAATCTGGTGGTAAGAGGCAGGGAACAGGCTTCAGATGCTGAGATTAAAAAGGCTGGAAACCTTCGCCCCGGAGCATCGCACAAGGTTGTCCCCAGGGCTTTGCGAAAAGGGAAGCTCTGGACAAATGTACTGGCAAAGGAGGGTGGGAATGGAGGAGTTTCCAAGAGACGCCGTAAAACGCCACTCCAGCAAGGAATAATTCCCCAAGGGGAAACAAATGTGCATATTGGCGGTGACGACTGTGCTCTCGCAATACGAGGGGATTGCACGAATGGCAAGGCTGCGAGAAGTCAATAGCCTACCAGATCGCCCGTCTGTTGCATCTCCGAGATGCCATTGATGACGAGGTTTGGGAAAGGGGGGGTGTGTGTGTGAGTGGGCTGTCCGGCATTGTCGTGGCAACATTGACGACTTGTGTGAAAGGCACCCCTGCTTTCTCATGTACGAGTCGTTTGGGCGCCACCAGGCTTTGAGAGTCCGTGTTCCCCGCCATACCCGGCATATGACTATGCAAACGAGTTTGATCCGCCCGGGGGCAGAGTTCACTTCAGGAGCAGTTGGTGATCCTGCACCTGCAGCCAAAGCGTCGAGAAGAGTACTCGTAATCCTACCTAAGGAGCGGCAATGGGGAAGGGAACCTAGGAAGAAGAACCTTAAAACGACAAGTTTGGGGGTGATTGTGAGGCATCCGAAGCGACCAGACCCGGCTCGTTCGTTGGTCGGTGCCAGCTCCGGGACAACGGTCTGCGGTTATGCGGTTCCGAGTGTCCCACCTCTTCCCCCTCGTACTATTGAATCGGGTGAAAGCCGGTGTCCGGGGAAGCTCCAGCACTGCGCATAGTTTGGTGAGGCAAGCAGGAAATGAAGGTTGGTTCCGCGTCAGGATTTGCTGAATCGACATGCTCCCCTTCCCTTTCGAGATTGAGCTTTGTCTTGAGCTGCTGATCACTTTGTTAAAATCTGTCCAGCCCGTTGCTCTTGGTAGCGTGATCGGTTTCGCCCCAAGCTTGATTGAGATGTGATTGCTGCGACAGGATCTTAGAGGACTCGTATACAAAGGACTGGAAATGCATTCCTGAGACAGCTTCGGAGGAAAAGGCAGCCGACGAATGGGGGAAGGGAATTTGTTCAGGATTGAACGACAACTGAAGTAAAAGCCCCGAGAGATAGACTGTCACGCATGCCCGTGAATGGACGCCTCTTAAGCCACAAACGCATGGGAGGTAGGGCCCTAACCGAATGCCGAGACGTGAAACGAGTGGGATGGGAACACAACATCATTACAGTGTGGCTTGGGAGAGGCTGCATCTTTCCTTGATGGGCGCGCGCACAGGGGGCCTGGGAGTTCCAACGCGGCCAAGCTGGGTATGGCAAAATCAATGAGATCCAAATGGCATGCGGGACGAAAAGAGGCCCGTGCATGAGAAACAAGGCGTTGAAATTGGTTGATCGTTACCCGGTGAGTCGATGGCCGCATTCGGACGATGCGATGGATCGGTGCCAGAGTGTCGGAGAGACAGAGATTCCACATTTCCTCCACCACGATAACTACTCCGTAGGGAGGGTACTCGATAGACAGCGACCTTTTGTGTCGTTCTGGGTTCGTGGCCACCGGCACTACACCCACATCAAGCTTGGGAACAACATAACATATACAGTAATGTAGCATCAGGATATCTTGTTGAGTAAGAAGGGGGGGTGAGGTAACTTGGTGCTTGGATAGGCAAGGAAATGATCGCCCCTGCGTATCTTGATGCTTGGGCACATGTCAAGGCAAGAATTGCAGAGCTGGCAGAAAGTAGTTCCACGTGCTGATGGAAAAAAAAGCTCTTCTCTTATTGCCTGTCCAGCTGACTCGACTCTGGGACCACTTGCCGGGCTTAGATTCCTTATGCTCCTCTCTTGATGAGCGTTTCCTTCCGCCGCGCTTATGGAGACAGCCTCTTGCCCCATCTTCCATTTAGCGCCAACGGGGAATCGGATGGCTGCAGAAGAAGGGTGACATGCTTACTCGACCCCCAAGTCGTCTGTGCTCCTGTACCGTAGTGGCTGGGAGAGATTACCTTTCTGGCCGATTTCAACCTTTTCCTTTTACTCCGCCAATCGCCGCAGTATGATGATGATGGGACGTCGTCCCATTCGTTCCGAGTCGAGTCAGCTGGCTTGACGAGTTTTGAGGATCTCTCCTTGTCTCGATGGATGGCATGGGTGGTTTGATGAGCTTTGGGGGGTACTTTCCAGGATGATGACTTGTATCTTGGTCAGTCACATTGACCCCTTTAGCCAAAGTATATGTAGGGGAACATCGCACACCATCACTCAGCCAGTCGCTAACACTTCCCGAGAACGATATATCGTTGCATGTCGGCAAGTCGTAGTCGTAGGGCAGAAGGAGGCGGAAGTACCTCGTACCACTACCGAGTAGTAGTACAGAGAAGTAGCCTGTGGCTGAGGCAAAAACAATCCCCCATCGGATCTAAGGCAAATGTTATTATTGGCATGTGACCCAAGCTCTGGAATACCACGGCAATATCAACTTCCAGACATTCATTTATCCATCGGTCTCACATGTCACTAGTGGTGATGAGTTACCATGATGTCCAATATCTTTTGGGAAAAAGGTTCACCACGCTACGTACAGAAGACTGTGAATGTGAATGCATAGTGGGTAGAAGAAGCAATAACGTCCAGAGTTTCCCGTGGTGATGAGTGATGGGCGACAATACTGATGCCTGGCCCAAGGAACAATTGGTGCCTGGATGGGACTTCGGGGGGGGAGGGGGCGCGCAAGTCAATGATCGGAGTCCCCCCAAGAAGATAACCAGATGGGCTGTGTGGGTGGTGCCCAAGGGTACCCAAAGGCCCCAAGGTATTCGTAGGCACTGCCAATCCCCAATCCCAGGCCAGTGTGACCCCGTTTCCCCCCCAAAGGAGCGATAATGCCATGAATCAGCTCCGAACGCCCCCCGAGGGACTCCTCGGCTTCGGGGTCCCTAAACCAAGTCGGCGGTTGGTGGCTGGTCTCCTGGTCTATCCTGTCATTACATCTGTTACCAGTGGATTCTAGTGTATTCACTAAAACTTGGGTCTTGCCAGAACGTCTTTTGCCCCCCCTTGCCTCTGCCACCCCCCCAAATCCCTCCTCCCCCTTGCCCCTTCTAGGCTTTCCCACACTTTTCGTCCCTCGTGTCTCGAACCTTGCACTATTGTCCAATAACCACCGAGTTAAAGGCACAAATCTGCAGTCACCTTTCTCACCTGGGTCGTCCGCTGCGTCTCCTCCTACCCTCTCGCCCTCTCGAATTCTGGTCTGTCCTGGACTCTCGCCCCGGTCTTCTGCCCACCTCCACTTGGATCCTCTTTGCTCGCTCCCCCCTGCTCGCTTTTTTCGTGCCTTGTGCCCTGGTCCAGCTCCCTCTGCAACTTACCATCTCGACAAACAACAACCCCTGCAAGTCGCACACCTGGCCCGGACTTGTGGTCCTTATACCGCTCGTCCCCATCCGCAAAGCCCCATCACCATTTCTTCACCCACACGTCTCTCAGACATAACCGCGCTCTCACACACACCCTAAAAGACCTACACAAGTCTTTCTCTCGTCGACACACATTCCCGTTCGACCTCGACATCCGTCTCACCGGACCTTGAATTCACCCTCTGTCAAATTGTCGGTAGCGTCCAAGTCGTCTGCACACGTCCCCCTTCGAGTCGGACCGAGGTCTTGAATTGCGTCACAAGCCGATCCCACCACATTCCCACCCGTTTGCGGCCCTGCAACTTCTGCCAACCTGCCAGCGCCAGCGCCGTCCTCTTTATGTGATCCTCCCCCTAGAATATTCGTTATTGGGCATCTCATCGACCTAGCTTCTCTCCTGACCAGTCCACACGAGGGTTCTCCTCGAAATGCCACCGCGCAAAATCCCCCATGTCCTATGTCTGGACCGGGGCAAGATGCACCATATCGATCCCTCGAATGCCTGCAGTTTGATGGCGATGTGGTCCATGTTCTCAAAATGCTCAGATACACTAGATGAGGGGCCCCGATTAGAGAATTTGAGTTGGCGGATATGGTCGCGAGAGTCGTTATGTGTGACGCCTTCCCCAAGCCAAGTGCCCTCCCTTAGCGCTTCATTGTCGTCAAATGACTGTCTGAGCGAAGGACGATGCAGTCCTGCTCACTCCAGGACCAGATCCCGGTCTCCCCCACAGGACGAATGCGCCAGCTCTCTCTCCAAGTCTCGACATCTGAGCCCCATCACATTAGAAAAGATTGTCGCTTCAATACAGGAAAAGACCGATCTTTGTCCCTTGTCTCCATCACTAGAGGCCAGTCGTCCTTTTACCAAAGTGCCATCTTCGAAGCAAGAGGCCTCAGAGAAAAGCGAGAACACTGCCGAAGCACGACCTCAACCTGTTCTGAAGCCCCTTCAAGATTCCACCGACTCATGTCTCTCCGTCACCACTGCCACAACATTGAGTACGGCTCGTCAAAGCGAGCATCGTGATTCTGATACTTCGGTATCTTCAGATGGACTAATCCCAAGCGGTTCTATTGTCCATGGATTTTCCCCTGTGGCGTCCTCATGTCGTTCTCGAACTGCCAGCTCAAGTGTCAAGCCACCTACAGCTCCTTCCAAGTTCATTGCTCCACCCAAAGGTGCTCTGAAGTCAACAGCCATGTTTACCCTTGGCGGCTCGTCGGAGGATGACGAATCCTCATTTGAACAGCGGGTACTGTCTGTCCGAGCACCTCCGCAGAGAAGCTCACTTTCCCAGAGTTTGAGCAAGCAGAATCTGTCGGAACGCAAGAGTGATCTCCCCCCAAAGAGAACTTCATTCCGGGATGTTGTTGCCGAGCGGAGAATCCAGGAAGACGCCGAAAACGACGAGGGCGCCATTGCAAGCAGTGATGAAGAGGACGATACTGACGAAGTTATGGAATCTGCCATCGACGAGGACGAGGAAGACGGCGATGACTGGGAAGATTCGACTTCGGACGATGGAAAGGTGGTTCAAGAACCTCATCTGTTTCGCCGGGTGGACAGCCGCAGCGTCTTGCCATCGCGGCGATCCATGTTGACTCTGGCCCTGAACAAAGGTCGAGCCGGCCTGGCCCACGCATATTCCCAGCCTGCTCTCCATCGGTCTCGCCAAACCTCACCCCCACAAGGACCGTCATTGGCCAATTCGCCCGAGGAAGAGGACGGCATGATGATGCAAACGTCGAATCGGCCACCCATCGCCATTCCACCACCCAAGTCATCCTCCAAACCTGTGGCCCATTCACCACGAACGACGAGACGGAACATGCTGTCGACGGAGCTGACCGAATCTCTCCGGAAGAACCTCCTATGGGAGAGACAACAGAAATCTCAGACAGTCAACGCCTTCCTCAAGCGGAGCCGTAACGCCCAGTCAATGGCCAATCTCCCCTCAGCTGGTCAGGCTGCAGGTGGGCCAGGAGGCCAACCTCAAGCGCCGGCCGTGGACTTGTCCAAGGACGACTCGTGGACCTTTGACAACACTTGGGAATATCATACCAAGGGCTGGTAGGCCTGGGCATCGAGCGTTGCTGCATCTTTTTACCATTTTTGCTATTCTTGTTTTTTACATCTGCGTTCTGAGCGGGGTCACGTTGTTCATGTGCTTTACGAACCACTTACACCACACCTTTACGATTGGCGAGTCCGGAAAACGGCAAGGATGGTGAGGCCCTGTTGCCCCATCCATGTACAACGGCGCATTTCGGACCATATTCTTTGGAGGCGGCGGCGGCTCAAAAGTGACGTGCATACTTTATTATCATGTTGAATGAATGGAGCTAGACACAATTGACCTCAAACCATACCGGCTACGACACTGAGGTATCGGCCCATTCCTTGGGTAATTGCTCTGATAGTCACCTACATTGTACCATACGATCGAATACACCAGATAGCTCGGGCTAGTTTTGCTGCTGGGAGAGAGAGAGAGGTTGTACCATTATGAGGAGGAGAAGCAATAAGATCAGAGCCTACAACCATCATCTATCTATCCATCCAGATTCAAGTTTTGCATTTCAGCGACGACGACAACGCACGGTTGATTATTGTAATACTATCAAGTAACCGTTTTTCATTAGGTACGATCTTTGATATTGGATTGGATTGGATTGGATTGGATTGGACTGGATTCGTTGGTTCGGAGGAACCGTGATTGGCCACAGTGGGCAACGCATGACATGACATGTTTTCCTTGCTCGTTTGTTAGTTGGTAGTTGTTTGTTGGGCGTAGATTTTTTTTTGTTGATGACTTGTCATGGATTGTCCACTCTCATGCATGGTGGTGTGCTCATGTGAGTAACTAGGTAGCTACTCGTAGTGAGTTGGACCCGTTTCTTTTCTTCTGGGGGGGTTTTTTTTGCCAACGTGCCTGCCAGCCAGCCAGCCAGGCCGCCCGTGGAGAGATTCGAGAGATCATGAGTCCAGACACGTCAATCGTCAACGGCAACAGCGCCATCGAGGCGGATGATTATCCACACTGTACTTGTACGTGTACCCAAGCTCATGTGAGTGAGAGTGAGAGAGGGAGGATGATATACAGTCCAAGTCGGATTACATACAAGGACGATGGAACTGGGAGTAATAGGACTCTTACATACCGAGGGCTTGATACTTGTATGGACTCTACGAGTAGTCTACTCTACTACTACTATAGAGGTATGTAACTGTGCAGGTCCATGTGTGTACCAGGTACTAGGCACAGAAGGTGAACATGTGACTTGGTAAAACAGTGCCTGTGCCTGGCGCAAGTGAAGGTGAAGGTGAGTTGTTGGCACGTGGTTGGCAATTATCGCAAGTCGCCGGATCCGGCACGTTCTTGCACAGCCGCCACCGCCTCCGTCGCCGCTTTCGGCATCTCCGTCTCGATTCGTCCCCCGAGTACCACCTACAAGAATGGACCTGCATCCTTTGTACAAGTGCAGTAGCGAGCACAAGTACAGGTACAAGTCCATGCAAGGGCAAGGGGTCTGCAAAAGACAAAAAGAAAGGGCAGAGTGAGAAAAACAACCCGAAGTCCAAGTACCAAGTACGAAGCCCAAGCCCAAAGGGGGGCGGGGGAATGATAACCGTACCTCTTACCGTCGGGTTGGAACGGTTTTTTTGTTTTTTGTTCCTCGCCTCTTCTTTTTTTTCTCCTTCTCGTGCTTTACTGATGACCTGATGACCTGATGACCTGAAGAAAATGCTTCTTCCGCCGCTTGCGCCTGTACTGCGCGTCCCCCCCCCCCACCCGGTTTCAGCCTCACGAAAACGGGGAAGGACGGGATTTCATTATTCGAGGGGAACGAGCCCCGACCTTTTTCGTCTTGGTGGCTTTTTGGGGTTTTGGGCTCTTCCGTGTGTGCCTGCCTGCACAGGCATAACGACTTAACTCGTGCGAGTAAGTCGAGTTCGTCCCCCGAGAGACTAGTCAGTCATGGTCAGGTAGTGGTAGTGCAGCAGCTCGGAACCGAGCACGCGCGGTCGCGGTCGCGAGTGACAGGGTCTGGTCCGAGTCCGAAAGGGGTCACAACGCAAAGCAGGTACAAGTACCGAGTACAAGTAGTACCTTCACACTACTACTGGTACTTGTACTCGGTGCGGAAATTGTTAGTCTGGTTGGTTAGTTGTGAGTGGGGAACGGGAACGTCGCTGCTGGTGGTCGCTTCCACATGTTCTCATGCTCGTGCTCGTGGTCTACGAGTATGCTGACTGTTATTATTTGATCCGAGAGCGAGGCCACGCCTCCAGGTCCACGAGACTATGGCCTGGTCTGGTGGTCTCACCCGACAACACAACAAGATCCACCTTCTAGTGAAGAAAATAAATGCAGAATCTACAACCTACAACCGCAACGAAAAAGGAAAGAAGAGGAATTCCGAAAAAGTGTTGTTGTTGTCTCGAGTGCCGACGCGAACGATAATGACCGTTGGGCCATGTGACACTCCCCAGATTAGGTAGATTCACTAACGGGGCCACGGAGCACCCTACTGACAAGGAAATGCAACACGGCTCGACGGTACGAGCAGTTAGTTCACTCAAAATCAGCAAATCGAACGGCCGAGAAACAAATCAGAACAGCACGAGACGGGAATGTTGTTGGACGTACCAAAAGTTGATACCCACACACACTGCGTCACTCTCACGCGGACGCACCGTTGAGAAGCACTTTCTACACTACGTTAGGACAAGACAGGTAGAGGTAGGGCCCAAAAGAAAGCGGGGGAGATGATTAAGCCGGCCCTACAAGTACCTAGCCGGCAAATAAACTCGGGGAAGAGGGATGGGCTTCGGTAATTCGTCTGGATGAATGGAATATGGCCGGCACGCGACCGCTGCAAAGGAGACGAGCATTACTACTTCTTGTGTAGTTGGCGAGTGAGAGAGTAACCGAGGATGGTAATAGATGATGCTTATGGTGAGTATGAGTAACCGAGCATGGACGCTGTCTTACTGGGGGATTTCATTTCCTCCATCTCCATGCCCGCTGCCCCGAACACCCCTGACACTACTCGATTCAGTCACGCGGTCTGACTCTGTTACATGCTTGCATGCATGAGAATATGGGGTTGCTGATATTGCGGGGGAAGAGGAATCGAGACAATGGAGAATTTAGACGATCAGCAGCCAGCAGTAGTCAGTCAGGAGATAGAAAGGATCATCCCGTTGCGATACCTTGTAGGTAGTGAGATGTGCGGTATGACGCGCAAGGAACACTTCACTGCAGCGGATGTGGGAGCCCGGATGGAGCACCGCAGCTCCCTACGAGTACTAATTCCGTGGCTGTGTCTCTTCGGCATTTGTATATTGTCAGGCGGGTAGAGGAAGCGACACTACTTCGTTATTGACCTGGGTATCTGGAGGACTCGGGGTTTGGGGTGGTGGCCCTGATGTGCCCCGGACCTATGTACTGTACTTATGCAAAGGTACTTTGGAGATTCAAAGGACAGACCTATCGGCATAAAATGTGGAGGGTACGGGGTATGTCTCGCACAGTGGCCTGTAGCACCCTATACCCAGTACATAGCCGGGGTACATACAGTGCGAGGTACATGCACTGCCCTGACTTGACTGACCGCACAATGCGAGCCGCAGCAAGGGGAAATTACAAGTACAACACAGCCCAGACGCTTGAGCAACAAGGTACCGGTACTGCGGTACCTACAAGGCCGCCAAAATTTTATAGCAAAGTAGGTACCCGGGACTCTAGGGCCTAGACTTGGAGTGGTCTGGAACTTTTGGTGCTTCTGGACCCTACGGGTTAAATAATAATTGGGGTGGAATAATTACTCCAACATCCACAGCGTGTATCACGAGAACAAAAGGAGAAAGAAAGAGTTCGCCCTAATTACTGTCTACTCCTCGGTTCGAAGCAAGAGTGTAGAGGCGGGCCATACTTGGAGAGTCCCTCCCTCTCTCCATTATTGTCTAGAACGTGTAGAAGAGAGCAGCTCCAGGTACCTGTAATTGAATACCGACAAGACATGTCGTGACTGTCTGTCGTGACTTTGCAGGTCTAGAACATGCTAGATATTGTGGGGGTACAGACCAAGTCTCGACACACACGCGCGTGTGTGCATGCGTGCAAATGCAACACTACATTACTACTACCACTACCATCACCCGGATACTTCGGCGGTCGCTTGCTACGCTGAATTCGAACGAAGCGGCTATCCTGCTTGTCCTTGTACGAAGTATGGTGTTGACATGAAAAATCACTGAAGAATATGTGAGACGGGGTTCGAGGCGAGGACAAGTACCTCGTACAGTACAAAGGACATGCATTTTCGCCTATTCTTCGTACAAAGTACAAGGCCTGGATCTCCTTGATACTTGTCCACTTTCCCACTTGCCCGAGCAGCCCGAGGAACTTGACAGTCAATACTCGGTATTGACTCTTGAATACCTGACTACGCCACTGCTACGATTGGTGTGAAGCACCGGAAAATTATGTACCACCGTTGCACCTGAAAACCCCGTTGACTGGTTGTGAGGCATTCGTCATCTCGGTATATCGCCAGCCGACGTGCATTAAAAGTGGACGGACCCAAGGAACCTCGGATCCATGCAGGGGAAGAAGGGGGGATCCTTGTCGCGTGAGAAACCCACGAATCCGGAACTCGGCCTTACAAGTCCGTAACATGTGCGAGTACCAGGTACAGAAGTCCCGCCGATGCAGTCAACTTGTTCTTTGTCTCTCATCTCTTATGAGACACGGCTTTCTCCTCGGGGATGGATGGCGAGAAGGATCATGTTCCCGGCAACGTTAAATCGCCCCGAACTTCATCCCCTATTATTGTTACTTTGTACAGGCAACGCCGGCGTCGGGCTTTCTGTCCCATGGAACCCAACGGCCGAGCCCGCAAATCGGACTTCCGAAGTGAATCGGCCAACCTGAGTCACGCTCAACATACTAACTTTGTTGTATGATTCGGCCAACGACAATAATTCGTCCGAAAAACGAAAAGCTGCGATTGCTCGCTCGCCTCATATTTATGGTATTCAGCCAAGCCGCCGTGTCGCTGATGCTCT